ACCTGCAACTCTGGTTCAGTCATGCAATTCTGGTCACTCACATTCAAATACAAGTGAACTGTGACTTTCATGCCTGCTGAGAAGATTTAAAAGCCAGATAAAGAGAAGGGAAGCTTTTCCAAAATGAAGACTGAGAGCAGACATGATCACTGTTGCATAAATATCTTGAGTGACTTGAGCCTGAAAAGGGACAAGAATTATGTAAGCTAAAGGTGAAGCGTTTGCACAAAAACAATCAAGGTGTAAATGTGTTGCAAATGTTTTAGTTGGAAATCAGTAGATACTTTTTTCCTTAAAAGAGTCATATCCTGCAACAGCCTTTCTATGTAAGTAGGAGGAAGAATACTAAATACTTGGCTAGCTAGAGCTCTATCAGTTAATGACCAAAATTACATATATATTTGCAGTAGCAGGGGAACTGGACTTGAGCAGGGTGTCCTTTCCAATCTTCTCATAGGTGGGCTGGTAGTGTCTAGATACTGCAGTGATAAATCATGCCAGAAAGTAAATACATAAACAGTAATGAGATTTCTAATGTGGTTAGGCGAGGATCTCCAACAGCTGTGCAAACATGAATGCCAGACACATATCTATCACTCAGGAAAAAGCTAAGCAGGTATTATTGGCTTTATGTTGAGCTAGGCAGACTGACATATAGAGAGGTTGAGTATCTGGTATGAATCTTTACCAAAGGTTTTCTTTTCAGTAACCACAAAGCTCCACTGGGCTTAACTAGTAACACGTAGAAGCTCTGAAGTGCAAACACCCATGTAAAAAGCTTTCCTAGAGCAACAAGTAAGAGGTTTATACCTGCCTGCTTTAAGAACTGTTCACTGCCTAAGACAGGATGAGGGCCCTGTCAGTTTCTCGGGGGTGGCCTATGTTGTACTGTAATACAGTATTCTTTATATCCTGGAGATAATGCAAAATAATCAGAAGCCGCTATGTCAATTAAAGCAGCCTTTTGTTTGAGAACATCAGAATAATGGAAGAGTTTTCCCCCTGAGTGAAAGAAGAGTGTAACTGAAAAACAGCCCATGTGAATAAGTGGCAGAACTGAAAGAAAACCACAGTAACCCTAAATTCTCTTCTTACCACAGTGAATGCAAGTTCTTCATTTACATACAATCAAAAAGTCTTAATTTACATTCAAAAGAAAATGAAAAAGTCTATTACTTTGCCCTCGTTCACTGGCCATGCTTTCCAGATATTTGTCCATACTGTTAGCATAAACCTGTAAATGCAAGCAGTCTAACGAAAAAGCAGGCACTTTCCTTTGCTAAGCTTGGCCCATAAAAAAAACCCAAAACCTGGCAAAACACAGTGACAGGCTTTTAAGAATTCATCAAAGGAAATGTGTTAGTCTACCTCAGATGAAGTCTGTCCCTGCTGTCTCGCAATCCTTCATGTTCCACACCCCAACCCTTTGGTCTCAGGCAAACCTAAGACACTTACAAATCTTCTCACCTAGAAACCATCACTCTCGCATTATGTCTGAGCTCTGGGTTGAAAAAAAAAATGTGTAGAACAAATAACACATCAGTCTTTTATGGGTTCTCTGTTCTTTTCACTTTCCCCCTGCAGGTTATGTTTCTGTTCCTTGAATACCCAACTTCTTCCTTGAAGTGTTACAAGAGCCCAGCAGAGCCCCAGTACTTTCTAGCACTTCTGATACCCGCAGCATTTTATTTAGTGATAAGCTGAATCTGACCTTCTTCTATGGTGCTGGGTAAACCCTGGGAGTCTATCGCAGTTCTTCCATTGATTTGCTACGGGGTTAGTACAAGAGAGTTCCTTTTTGTCAGTTTTCTCCATTGGAAAAATAGTAGTCCATTTTAGTCTCATGGTGTTTGAGTACTTCCTGAGCCATGAAAGGCTGTCAGGCAACTGGAAAGAAGACATTTCCCATGGAATGGCATCTGTTTACATGCAGTTTTGTTACAGGTTAGTTATGGGAGAGCCTTACCTCATAATTTTTGATACTATGTTTCTACAAACAAATCTTCACACCTCAATCCTTTGCCTGGGAAATGAAATTAAAGAACTGAAAAAAAATGTCTTTAAGCAACCTGTTTCCTACAGAAGACATCATCTTTCCTTTCTGTGAGGCATTCCTCATGTTGACACAGCACATACAGCAGAAAAAAACTCTAGTCTGGACTGTATTTTTGACGTTGCATCACTTACACCATTGCTACCACCACCAAGTGAAATGGTAGTGTAAACCTTCTGGATCTTTATAAATGATGTCAAATGCAAAGCACTGCAGCATGGTATATTTTATCCTTTCTCACGCATTCTAGGCTTCATATTTTGGCACATACAGTACAATTTCCCCATATTTCTAGGCAGTAATCACATTTGTATTTAGGCCTGCATCAAACAATTCTATAAATTCATGTGAGGCCAAAGCTTGTCTTAAATAATTAAGAATGACAGGTCAGAAAACCCATTTATTTGGAATTGATGAATTTATGAATGCTGGATAAGGTTAAAAAAATTCCTGTATCATGGAAAGGTTAAAATTATAGGGAATCAGCAATTTGCTACCACAGCTGGTGTCATATAACTCCCTGAAAAGGGAAAAAAATCTAAGTGAGTCATTTCCATTAATAGTCTTCCATTTAAAAGGGACTGTCTTAGAAGAAATGTATGACTGCTCTTGCACCCAGTGGTCTGTAAGAGCTGGGGATATGTCATGGAAAAATCCCAGAAAAAAAAGAAGGAACAAAGAGCAGGAAGTGGCTTTTGAAAATACGGATGTTCAAGGGACTCAAAGGAGCACACTTTGACCAAGGGAAGTCTTTTGACAATTGTACTAGGAAAAGGAAAAGGTACCTTGTTCTGGGAGAAGGACATGGGATTTAGAACATACATAGAGAGTCTGTGGCAGCCTCTCTCTTTGGAGGGAAGAGGTAGGAGAGAAAAACATGAAGCTAAGCAGATTCAAAGGAAGAACATGTGTGAAAAAGATGAGGCACGTGAATATGGCTCTTATGGAGAAATGCAAGAACTCTGAATGTCTGCAGTGAAATCTTTCTACAGAAACTAAAAGACGTGTCTCCCTTATAGGTAGAAATGGTTTTTTTACCCAAGAAATCTGAAAAGTTGTGTATCTTTGGTTTGCTGTTATTTCAAGAGCTTGCTTTCTTCCACCTTCCAGTTTCCCGTATCTTCTGTCTTATTGTATTAAGACGACTGTTCTAAATTACCTGGTCTTGGCCAACAACCCCTCTTGCAAAGTACTCTCCAGGGAGAGTAGCCCTAGGGACAAGTACAGTCATCACAATTTGTCTGTTAATAACCACTTACTCTGGCTGCATCACCCTACAGAAAGCAGAATAAGTGCTGAGCTGTGATACGAACCCAGACAGCAAGGTAAAATGGTAATAGGGAAAGGAGCATCTTCACATTAACCTTTCAGCTGGTGATTTCCTGGTGTCATGAGAGTGCACTGAAGCAAAACAGAGCACAGTTTAGGGAGCTGTTTCTTCAGTGTCGCCACGGGGCTGGAATGACCATATCTACACCCTTTAGCAGTGGAAACCTCAGTTTTATCTTCCCCTTGCGAGGAAAACTGAGCCCTGGTGCAGCCAGGACCAGTGACTGGGGAATGCAGCTGTGTTTGCAGAGAGGAAGCAGAAGGTGCAGACGGCCCTGTTCTGGCTCCCCTGTGCAACCCTCAACCCCAGTGAAGACTTGCCAAGCACCATCTCAGGTTTTCAGTGCTAACACACTGGGTACTGGCAGACAGTTCAGCACCCTGTTCTTTAACTAATGGCAACAGGAAGGAAGGAGAGGCACTGCTGGAGTGGTTAGCTACTGAGTTTTTAAGGACTGGAAGAGCTTTGTTAGTCAGAGGGATAAAAGCAGCTCAAAGCTTTAGGAGAAAGATGGTATCAGAGATTTATACAAATGGCGGGCAGGGGGAGGCAGGGAAGAAAAAAACCCAATAAAAATTGCAAAAAAGTGGTGCTGCTGCACTTGGTTTTTCATTATCTCCGGACTGGGCATTAGATGTAAAGAGAAACCATGGGAACTGAGCCACCAAATAAAAATGCTCATAAATATAAATTAAAGTACATTTAATCACAGGTGCAAATTGTGCTTTTTAACTGTTCAGAGTATAGCTTAGGTTGCACTGATGACTAAGCACTTCTTGTATAAGAGCAATAAGGTCCCTAGATGTCTGATTAAATAAGGCATAGTTGTCAATAACAACAGACAAAAAAATTGAAGCCACAAGTTTTAAATGATCACACAATGTTTTCAGACATGAGGACCATGCTAAACCATGATTTAAAATAGGCAACAGGTAGTTTTTAAGGACCCTATCTCTTGGTCGTTCACTCAGCTTTGCACTGTTGACTCATTCAGACTCCATCTACAGGGAGAAGCTTATGTGCTTTCTATTTTCAGCTATGAAATGTAAACATTTTTATAAAGGCAGAAATCATGGTTAGCATGCAACTTACTTGAAAATACGTTAAGAGTCTCATGGCTTAGCTGAAAGTCGCTGACAGGAAGCAGAGGAAAACAGGAGCTCCCTAAAAGACATTAAATACCTATCTCTATACCAAAGACATGTTTCTCTATACAAGTTATTCAGGTATGAGGTCTCAGAAGTAAAAGCTGTGAGAAATAAATAAACTGGTTTTATTATAAGCAAATGAATTTAGTGGAAAAACAGAAGGGGGTGAGGTTTTCTTTTTCATTTAGTTCCAAGGGTTTTTTTAGGTGTATCGTGAAAGCTGTAAGGTGGAGGGTCCTGGCTGGGTCTGACGCCAGGGAACCTTTGCGGCCGGGAATAGGGAAAAGTATGAAAATAAAAATGTATCCTCTGCCACATGGCCATCCATTGTGTACGGAGAGACCCCTCTGTACCATACAGAGGGGTACCTCACAAATCAATCAAGAGGGAAGGTAGCACCCCCTCCTGAGTCCGAGAAATTACCTTTTAAGATAAAAAACCAGTGGTCACTGAATATTTAACAGCTTATGTAACGAGAGAATACAAAAGGCGCGATTTTCAAATGGTTGGTGTGCCTTTAGGTCCATGTGACTTGGAGTGCACCCAGCTGCAATAAAGAACTTCTCGCCACACTTTCCTTGTCCTACAGGTATATTTTTTTCTGTTTTTAAATTTAAAGGAAGGATTTTTCCTACAAAGCCAAGTAATGCCTCTTCACAAATAAGCAGAAAGCCTGTAGTCTGGTAACAGGGACCTCATTTGAGAGATAAGAAAATAGCCTGATTTAGAGAAGGGACAAGTTGTGTCTTCTACCTTTTAGGTGAGTGTCCTAATCCATAGGCAATAGGTGATTCTAGGATGGGAGCTTCTCCTTCTGGGGCAACTTCTGTTGTGAAACAAAAAGAAAATAAGGCATTGAAAAAGGCAGCAAGAGTCTGGCCTTACAGCTAGTTGACAAGAGCAGCCTTCTAGGATGTCTGAGACTCATGAGGCTCTGGCCTTCTGGACTCAGGATGTAATCTTGAACAAAGCTCTCTTGTAAGTCAGGTAAGTACTTTAGCTACCATGCTTGGACTTACCAGATCCATCTGGAACATACTTGTCCAGTTCAATTAAGACTGCAACGGGGAACTTGGTTCATCTGCACCTGCATCATCTTTAATGCTCTGTTTTCCCTCTGACCCAGTTACTAGATCTAAAACTTGCTTTCTGGAAAGTTCATGGCATCATCTCATATGAAATGGAGAAATACCTTCAGTCTTCTGAAATTTTAATGGCCTGGAAAAATGATTTCTTTACGGTTGTAGTGCTGTGTGGAGAACTGTAACAGAAATGCTAAGACTGATATGAATGTGAACTGTCTGAGTGTGGAAGTTCTGGAAGGGACAGAAGGTCAGAAACTATAGAGGGCAGGAATGCCCTGTTTTGATGGCACCTAAATTAGCCAGTCGTCAGGGCCCTGGCACACTACCTGTGCAACTTCTCAGAACACCCATGTTGAGAGACAAAGGATAGTAAATCCTGGTTACTCAGAGAGGTGGGACAGAATGGACAGGTGGATATCCATCAGTTCCAAAATATAAAAAGGCATACGCAAAAACAGCACATGGTTGCCAACTGGTAATGGACACAGATGTGAGGAGGACTCAGTAGCTGATGCCCCTGTCCCCTGCATCACTGCAAGGAGTCCTAGCCAGACTGTCTGAATACACATGGCTTGGTGCTAGTGTGCTGGACAGACTGCTCGAACACTTGCATGCACATCCCCAGTGCCTGACTGCTCAGCAGGTTGCTTGGATGCACATATCCTGGTGCTTTTACATGGTTAGGAGAGCACATATTTGAATGAATGACACCTGTTTTGTTTCAGGTTTTGATTTTACAACAAAATTACCTTCCTCACCTATGGGGTTCCGCATTGAGATTTGCTACACTGTTAATACAAAATAGTCTTGCAAAATTTCCTACACTGAGTATTTCTGAAAATTTAGACTACATGGCTTTATGGTCTTAAGTGATGCACAGAATTTAATTTTTGTGGTTTTGTTTGAGTTGAGTGATTTATATTTAAATAGTTTAAAAAGTAATATTACATCATTAGTTTCATTTACAGCCACCGATTTAGACAACTCTTAAGCAATTCCCATGGGCGATGCTGAGTACTGTAGCTATCCAATCAGATAATAACAATGAATGCAAATTGAGTCATTGAGCCGGTGTGGTTTTAATTAAGCAGAGAAAGATCTGTGCAGAATGCAGTTTGCTGAGCAAATAGAGAGACGTTGACTGCAAAACAAAATTGAGCGGTGCTGTGTGGATCATTGTGACTTAAAGTAATGATAGAAACTCTCTTACTCAAACATGGATCATCAGTGCGGGTTTTTCGCTGTAAACATTGGAGTGAGTGCTGAGGGCAGTGCCCACCAAGTGGAAAAACAGATTTGTGATTTTTATTAGCATGGCATTGGAGTTGTATAGATTAAGAGGAAAACAAAAAGCCTGATCTCAGGATAAAAAGGGATTATGTATGTGTATACACCCCATATGTGTAGACATCTACAAATATGACTTTTACTCATTAGAGTTACAAAGTCATTTTTTTGGATAAAAGGGGATAAATTTACATATATATGTTGTGTGTGTATAAAAATATATATATATGTATATGTATATCCCCCCATATGTACAGACATCAACAAATATGATTTTTACTAATTAGAGGTACAAAGTTATGCCAGCAAGCATAATTATGACTTAGCACATACTTCTCAGTCTGTGTTTGAAAGGATATTAACAGGACAATGAATAACGGATTGATTTGAACAGTCTAAAATCTATGGCCTTTTTAATCCTTCATAAAATGGGGTTGGTTATTACACTATTGTCTTCTTCTGACCTTAAAATGAGGTTTAAAAAGAGAACTGACATACATCATTGCAACCTTTCCATTTGCCCTCTATCATAACTGATGGATGTCAGATTTGTTAAGGTGGGTAGTAGGCAGGCCTCAACAACTACAATACCGGAGCTTGGATTTTGCTTATTCCACTGGCTCCTTTACTTGTCTCCAGACAAGTTATCTAAGCCAAAGTTTCAAAATCATCAGCCTAACAGTGGTATTGCACCATCATTAGTGCTCAGACATCCCTTTGGGACCTTTGATCCACAATCACAAACTCAAACACAGCTTTACCTAAGTAGGGCTCTGATGCTTTCAGGGAGCTCATTTTTGTGCTGCAGGAAGGCTTAGTGGCATTATTCAGTGGTGTGCTCTCCTATCAGAGAGTGTATGTATAAGACTGAGAACATGTATAGGAATAAAGATCAGAAAAGCTAAAATTAGCCATCACCATTAAAGTAATTATTTTTCTGAGGCTCTTTTATCAGTTACCACTGTTAATGGCACCCCTACCTGGATGGCAAGACATAACCTTCCCAGGAGAAGCACTCTTCCAGGCAGCTTCAAAAGTTTGGGGGCTAATCTGTGCCTTAGATGCTGCTGCCCTACATTGCTGCTCTTGAACCAGACCAAAATGACTTAGGACCTCCTGTTGCTTTAGAACAGCAAATCCAAACCTTGTGTGGACACCAGAGGTGGTATATTTTTCTCCAGTTGCCTCACAGCAGCAGCCAATGGTGAAGACTTCAGTGTAAGAAAGGTAACAGGCAGGGGAGGCTTCACTCCTTAAAGTACGTGGGCTCCTTCTATAAACCCTCATCAAATCATTTAAATGCAGTGTCCACATCTGTTCATTTCTAAAACAGGACCTGATTCAAAGCTCATTTGTCTCAAAATACAATAAGGCAACAGTATGTTTTGGATTCACTATATTTTTTTAACAAAAGGTAAAGTCACTTTAACAATAGACTTTGTGTCTCTGTGTGTCTGTGTGTGTGCATGTGTGTGTGAAATGTGTATATGGGCTAAAAAATCTGAGCTCTTGTATGCAAAATTTAAAACAAAGTGTTTTTTAATAAAATGGTTTTTCACTTTTATCATAACATTCTGGCTTTCAGGAAATTTACTATTTCTACTTCCATTTCAAAAAGAAACCTGTATTGGAAAATATATAAAAAAAGAAAATGCAAAATAATTGGCATATTTCAGCCAGCTCATCTAAGAACACTGCAGATTTTACTTAGGCATTTCCTTCCTTGAAATTTTTTCTGGCATTATCACACAGAGATAAGTAATCTGCGAAGAGTACCCTCTGCTCCAAGGGCCCTTCTGGGCTATGAAGAACTAGTTTAGGAATGACACATTGGCTCTTCTCCCAGCTCCAGCACACAGGGAAGATCAGGAGCCCACCTGGTAGTCACTAAGCCCTGGGTAGTCTCTGCTTCACAGGACCTAAGAGGCACAACACAAATTACACTGGCTCTGGGGAGGCTCTGGCTCACATTAAGAGTTGTTGCGGCCCCTGCAGGACTCCAGAGTGTGACTCCAAAGGTAACCAGATAATTTTCCTCCCCTGACTGCAATCATTCCTCTCTTGCCTGAAGTGCACAAACTGAGTAACTGAGTGTAAAATCCTTTAGGTCTCTCTTCAGCACTAGGCTGTAGAAGCCCAATTTCTTCAATTTCTTTTTTTCACTGTGAAAACTGGATATACAAATCAAAACCAGTACTGCTGGCTCTTAAAGATTTTACTGTAAATCAGTAAAATACAGCCACCAGTCAGGCAATCACACATTACACAATAAACACTTTCTTTTCAAGTTTCCAGCTCTCATAGTTATGAAAACTCCAGAACAAGAAGCCCAGAAACCAGATGACTATTTTAAAAGCTCTAAGACACTTACTTGCTTAAAGAGAAAACTCAGGTTTTAAGCCAATCATGATTTTGAACTCTGAGTCTTGATTTTTGAATACTTAGGCTTAGCAAAGGTAGGGAAACCACTGATTTTGTAGCATTAAAAATTTTGTGGGTGCAGTCCTGAATACAGTTTTGGGCATACACTGTTCTTTGAGAAGCACTCTGCATAAGAGAGAGGAAGAAGAAACAAATTTTGTGCAGTGGTTTTTATGGCAGCTGCCCATTTTTAAACTATTTTGTGGAATGTGTTAGAACAATAACACTTCTCACTGTAAAAGTTGTAACTGTCTCAGGGAGGCACTAAGTCTGAAATGCTGTCTTTGAATGAGAGTTTGTCAAAGTCTATTATTTTCTTTCATTTTAACAGATTTTCTTTATGGCTCAGTTTTTGTTTGTCTCCCTTCTTTTGTCTTACTACCTCTGCAGCCCTGCAGAGCCTCAGGATCACAACAGCGAGGAGATCACTTCCATATCAAATAAGGTGGTTCCATAAATCTTGAGTCATAGTGGACCAAAAATATTCAGTTTCCCTTCTCTGGGTATATCCACCAACTGCACATAACTTCTAAACCTTATGCTCTTTACCTCAGCCTTCTTCAAACTTTAGTGTAAGGGACATCTCTGTGCTGGTTTAAAAGTTAACCAGCAAGGGAAAATGAACTCAACTCAAAAGAGAGATTTATAAGTCAGAATAACAATTTATTAAAATAATGCAATAAGTACAATTATACAGACAGACAATTGGTTTTAACCCACAAAACCCAAATGTATAACCTAGCACCCTGGGGTATGAACAAGAGTGGTGTACCTTGGCCCACCCCCGGGTCCAAAGCAAAGGGAGGGGGATAAACCTGCTGGTGGGAGAGCTGCTGCAGTCTGGTCAGAAGTGGTGATTGCAGTCCAGTCGAGGGTGGTGGTCTCAGTCTGGTTGAACGCAGTGGTCTGCAGTCTAGTTGAAGGCAGTGGTCTGCAGTATTCCTCTGGATCCCACGAGAGGTGGCAAGGTTCCCCAAACTCCCAGTTATATACTCTCCAGTTCAGGCGGGAGTGCTCAGTCCCTCCCTCAGAGTAGGGAATTGATGCTCAGTCCCTCCTCCATAAAAGGGTATCAGAGCGGGGAATTCCATATAAGGGTATCAGAGCAGGGAATTCCATAAAAGGGTATCAGAGCGGGGAATTCCATAGAAGGGTACAGGAACATCTTCCCACCTTGCAGGCCTCTACTGACAA